GATCGTACCCCAAATTTTGATTTATTTTATCTAAGTATTATTTTCTTATACAAAAAAAAAATTCGTGTCAAATATTCTTTCATTATACTGAACTGACAGACTAAATAGATTTTTAATTTTCATGCCCTGTCATCACACTTCCCACTTACAATAGGGATTGTAAGTGGGAAGTGTTAAGTCTATTAGCCATTACCTAATTCTAACTCGTAAGTGTACATCTTTATATACATATATAATTCTTCTGTGAGTGTGTATGTCACTGAACTTCTCTCAAACGGCTTGACCGATTTAAATAAATTTTTTGTACGTGTTTGAGTGCCCTGGATGGTTTAAATTCACAAATCTGCCCGGCAGATGGCGCTACAGTCGGTGTCAAGGTTAGTTATCCTAAACGGCTAAACTAATTTGAATGAAATTTTGTTTATATATATATTCAAGTGGATATGCAGGACAACATCTGTTGGGTCCGCTAGTAAATATCTAAATGCAAGCTAGCTAATATTGGAAATAGAAAACCTGTCATGATTAAAAAAGGTTAAATGGTCTCACTTTCACTCCCGAACTACTAAACTGAATTTGACAGAATTTTGCACACAAATAGATGTTTTTAGGCTTACTTACGTAATTTATTATTTGTCCTCCTTTGAGTTTAAATAATTATGTTTAATAATTGAGTGTTTCTCTGTAAACTGGTCAACTCATAGCCCCAGGCTAATTCTGTTTAAAAAAAATAAATATTGTAAATATTTCGTAAGTAATTCCAAAAATTAATACCCTAATCTACCGCTACGCAACAATAAACTTTATTATATTAAAAACGTTTTTAAAGTTCTTCTAAACCAGTCCTGGCATGTCACACAACAGTCCTCTGGCTGGGCTGTGTAGTAACTTCAAACTAAATTATTTGAGACAGTATCTATTGGAATTGATGTACATACCTAATTATTATATTATTAAATCAATATTTTTTGTTTGTTCATGAGACCCATTTATTTTGCATAAATATTATATTAAAATTTAAAAAAAACGATGGCACATTGTCTTCGCATTTTGGGAACAGTCTTCTGTCTATATTTTAACCCCTCGAGCGTCCTTATGAGCACCCGATGGATCATAAGAAAAAATGCTCAATGCTGCTTTCTCTTTTATAAAATCTATTATTAATGTTTTATTTTATTTTGACTGTATTTGTTTTATTTCTATTGTAATGATCCTTGTTTTCGTGTGCCAATGGCCAAATAAATGCATTTTCTTGCATGCATAAGGATAAGGAAATGCATAAGGAATGCGGATGCTCGACAGGTTAATTGTATTTTTATTTATGTATTTTAATCATTCTTCAAATATTTAAATTGGTACAATAAATGCATATTTCTTATGTGCCGTAAAATAGCATAGTTCAATTACATTTTATACTACTCTTCAATGAAACAGTGTCCTGGCGAAAGTTAGACTTAGTTGCCCAATTTACAAAGAAACGCTTACAAATTACATCAAATAATGACATGAGTAAGTAAGCCTAAAAACTTAATACCTAATTAATTTAGTGTCTCACGAATGATATAATATAAACACAAAATTATGATATATATTTTACTATATAATTGACCTGTTTTTATAATAACTATCGTGAGACATACTAAATTAACTAAAATCGCGGGTTACTCACGTGAATATACTGAGCAAAGCTCTACTAGTTTCGAACCACAGAGGGGTTCTTCCTCATGAGCAGTGTGAGCGGTCGCGGCGACGTCGCGCAGCTCATAGTTAATATAATTAGCCGCTTTATTTGAATATCAAACATTTCAAAGAAGATAATCACAAGGTATGTAACACATGTAGGAATAAAATTACATAATTGTGCGGCCTTATTATATAAATATCAGTCACAGGTAATGTATAAACAATAATAAAATAACTAGACTTCTATAATAATAGATTTTTCTTTAGTTATTACATTCCTGAACCAAACAATAGATCTCTTAAGTTTCAGACATACATTTTAACTGAAAAAAGGACTTAGTATGGACATATACAATGTAACACCCACTTTTCACTATTTAACTTACAAGTTCCATGTAATAGGGAATGAATCTATTACCATATACCGGGCACGATTCCAGACTCCGTGCTATTTTTATAAAACAGTAAAAATTACAATAACAGCTTGTCTGACTCAGAATCGAACTGAAAACATTTCGCCCGACAAACACGATAGCAGTATAAACTCGACAAAGTAGGCAGTCTTTTGTTTTTAACAAGCAATAAGATCTATATAGGTTTCAAGTACAGCATAAATTAAGTGTCTTGTTTATGTGTAAATGTTCAGATTCTACTACAAAGACAAGGTCCATACTCATTAACATATTTAGGTCAGTAACACCATACAAAGATATCGAAAAGGACGATTACTTATCATTTACAAATATTAATCCACAAATTGAGTAATTATTACTAATTATTCCCTCTATCTATAGATAAAACGGATTATAAACTATTTTGAAAGGCATTTGAATATTAATAAGACAGCATAGTCGTCAAACAATGTGAAAGTAACCCACGACTGTCGATTAATTCACAGAAACCAAATGTTATGAATTCTTTAACAATGTTTGTTACGAATATCACTATTCACAAGTACTTTACAATACTTACAAGCACCACAGAATCCTCGACAATGCTGTCGACCTTTAATTAGGCCGCCTAAACATACACTATTGTAGAATAATGATAAAATTATTTAATAATATTTTTATCACCAACAAACACGACACGATTTAACACGTTTTCACATAAATTATACGGAAAAAACTTCAGGAAACACTGAACGGAAGTTGTTAACTCACTTTAGATTTAGAGAAAATTATTTTTTATTGTATTTTTTGATGATATTTTAACAAAAAAATGTCTTTGTTGCTCTCATTGGCAATGTAGGAAAATTCACTTTTCATTTCGTTCCGTACGTCAAGTGTCAAGTTGACGTTTAGTCCGTTTACGTTCTGAATATCAATCCGAATAAACTGTGATGGGAGAGTATTAAGGCGGTCTTAGTTTTAAAACTTTCATTTTTTAAATCAGAATAATTTATAAACCAAATCGATAATAAAATTATATTACGCAATATCATTACAAAACATAAAAATATGATAATTTTGATCTAATTCATTGGATTAAGTATTTAAACGTAACTTTAGAGAAGAGCTGAGTCATTGATATCAATCGTTATCAATCGATGTTAATTTTATTATCAAATAGCAATCAATTTTAAAAAGAATAACATAATTATTGTATGCCGTTAGTGCTAGTTTGCGGATGGAAATAAAGAGCCATTTGCTACGGTCTTATGAAAATAATACGTTATAAGATACAACATAACATCACGCCTTTTATCCCCAAAGGGCAGAGGTGTACATTACTGCACTTAATGCCACTGTACACACGGCTACACATCGAGCTTTACATAACCAGTATAAACTGAACGTTAATATGTGCGGAAAGATGATGCGACGCGACACCAGGATAAACTGGACCTCTAGCCAAACGCCACTTTAGCGCTTGTCTAGAGAGAGAGTAGAAATCAAAATGTATGGGGATGACACTGACAAGTGTCAAAATTAACGTCAATTCCATATAATTTGGTTTTCTATTCAACATGTAGACAAGCGCTAAATGGCATACAGCTGCTGGTTTTGTATAGATTGTGTGGCCGTGTGTACATACAATGCAACACCCACTTTTCACCATTTATGTTATGAATCCCATGTAATAGGGGTGAGCCTATTGCCATGCGTTATAAGATATGTACATACATATATATGCGAAAAACAATTACCCTTTACACATGCGTGTAAAAATTTAAGATAAATCCCTTTACACGTATTTAAACATCTAAGAAATTCTGCCCCACCAGATAAATTAAAATTCGTCTATTTGGCTCTGTGTCAGTCCATTATCCAATATTGCATACCAGTTTGGGGAGGGGCAGCCAAAACGCTTTTTCTTATGCTTGAGAGAGCACAAAGAGCTGTACTGAAAGTGATGACCAAAAAACCATATAGATATCCCACTGCAAAATTGTACTCTGAATGTAAGGTATTAACAGTCAGACAGCTCTTTGTGCTCAAATCTACTTTGAGAAGGCATCGAAATGTCCCACTACCGAATCCAAACAGACGCAGTAAGATGCCAGTATGCCCGCAAATCCCTACCAATACTACATTTGCCAGAGGACAGTTCAATAGTCTCAGTTGCAAGCTCTACAACATAATTAATAAAAACCTGAACATCGTACGACTCAGCCGAAAAGAAGTCACAAGAAAAATCAGTGATTGGCTTCAGCAAATGGATTACAACGAAACTGAAGGTTTACTTGCGTATATATCATAACCGACACACACATACATACACACACAAACACACACACACATACACACACACACACACACACACACGCGCACACACCCTCACACACACACACAAAATTCCGGTATATTAACCTAAGTAGTCCTTTTAACTTTCCCTTTATATTTTATTATTTTTGATTTTGGATTACAGCTCCTTCCATTTCATTCATTCACTTTCATGACATTCACTTCATTATAGAGTAACATAATATAATGCGACTTCGTGACATACTCTAGGCCTGAATCACTGTTTTCCAAAATACAAGCTTATAGCTTAGTTTGGAAAGCAGTGTCAGTATCGATCGTAATTCACACTCGTTCATGTAATTGCCGCATTTCTGTGAATGTATTATTGTGAAATTTTTGTACAATAAACAATTTTTATTTTTTTTTTATTTACTTTGCATTGAATATAATATTAATTTTAATATTCATTACAATCGATAAAAATTTCAAATTTCCATTCTTTCACACCTCTATCTAGCTGTCATTGAAGTCAAGAGGGCGTTGACGTTTTATGTCATTTTGTCGACGTAAACAAGCGCGGTAGTGATCCTGTATTTATTGTTTATTTTTATATAAACTCAATTAAAAACCATGTCGGCACACAACGTTAACGTCTGCGACATCACAGACGATGTGAAAGAAGTGTTAAAGAAGTTCAGATTTCAGAAACACACGTCGAATTCGGCACTCATATTAAAGGTAAGTTTTGAGCCGATTTGATAATTATTTCACTTAAATAACCCTATAGAATTTAGCTAAAATGCTTGTATATCTACTCTAGTACATTATAGACACATAATTCTTACTATTACAGTGTATATTTAATTTATTTTCCATGATTCCGGTCAATAGTCAAGCTCCATTAGTCCCATGAACCTGACTCATTCAAGCATATCTGTAATCTGACGTCACGTACGTGATACTCAACTACTTACACAGGATTCTCATTATTTTATTAATTTCCATGATTCATTGTCCACTGGCATTGTGGTAGTTCATAACAAAGGATAACAGAGGTACAGAACATTAAGAATATTATTACATAGAAAATTTTTGCTTAAGAAAGAAGTTTGGGTGGTTTGAAGTTGCGGTTTTCTAATAAATATACATAGTATGTATGTCTATGTACGTATTCCATACATATCCCACGCCTGTCTCCATTGGGGATAGGCAGAAGCTATGGAATTCCAGTTGCTATGATTCCTACACACCTCTTTACTTCATCAACAGTCATCAGTCTTTTCATGCATGCTCGTCGGTTAAGGGTACTTTAATATATCGCCAATCTGGTTGATAAATGTCTGCTCTTTACCATCAACCTCACCATTCTAATAAACAATCTTTTAATTTACAGGTTCAAGTCCTGTTTATGTCACTCACATATGTTTAAAAGTTATAAACGCTTATATTTCAAATCTACTGTAAATAAATTGCTTAAAATAAGGTATCCACTAAGATTATCTAGACACCACTGACAAACGGTGAAGGAAAACATTGTAACAAAACGTGGGCTTATAATTTCTAATTATAAGTTTGCATTGAGAAAGCGTGGCGATTAATACTCAAACCTTCTCTGAGCGAAAAGAGGCCTTTAGTCTGTGGTGGCCACTTATAAGCTGTTGATGACGATGCATTTTTTTAACTGAACAACCTATGTTTACGACGATAAGGTCTATATCAGCTTGTTTTGTGAAATAAAACTTTATAATACGTGTTTACTCAAAGGATATTTATTGCACACTGCTTTTTTTACAATTAATTCTAGATGAGTGGACTGTATTTTTATTTATTTATTTATTTATTTAATATGCTTTATGCACAAAATGGACACACATAGGTGGACTTAATGACGTTAATGTATGAACAAGGTTAACTGAAATCGAAGTCTTTTATAAGTGTTCTTTTTTGTTATTTTTTGTACTCAATAATTGGGGTGTCATTTTCTTTAAAGAAAAAGCCCTGTAAACTACTACTGAGATTTTTTTTGAAAAAGCCTAGTAATTATTTACCCTAGCCGGGAATCGAACCCGAGAACCCATGTCCGGCAGTCGCACTTGCGTCCACTCGGCCAACGAGGCAGTCTTATTTGTTTCAGTCAGTAAATATTTGTTACTGATATTTAATTAGCTGTCTGATATGATTAGAAGGTCATATAACTTTGTGGTCAGCAGAACAACTATCTCATTACAATGACCACAATGGAACATTGCAGCTAGCTATCATAATATTATTGACACATAACAACATACATAAAATAAAAATGAAAGCCAGTTATTTCCCTATAGCATACATACTGATAAAATGTAATAGGTACTTCAACTCTTCATTCAGTACATTCGGATTCCATACAAAAAGCTTTGAAATACATCTCTTGTATGATTGAGCCTGACCTAAGCATCAAGGAGTATGTTTTTGCCTTCACTTTTTTATAGAATAAACCAATAAACAAGCAGACGGATCACTGATGGTAAGCAATCAGCGTCGTTCATGGACACCTGGAACACTTCTTCTCGATCGCTTGCTTTATTTCTGAAGGTCGTGCCCCTGAAAGGCATTCAATGCTCTCTGTGTTATTTCCCTTCATCCTGTTTTCGGCTTCTCTCAGGAGGGCCTTTTGGGGGTTAGGAATTTGCGGATTACTTATTCTTACTTTATAACCACTAGACTAAGAACACCTGTGTCGTGGTGGCCCGGAGGTTTAAGACGCTCACTTCTCATGCATGAGGGTGCGGGTTCGCAACCTACCAACGGCAAGTACCAATGTGACTTTTTCCGAGTTATATGTACTTTCTGAGATTATTTAGACACCACTGACAAACGGTGAAGGAAAAACATCGTGAGGAAACCTGGGCATATAATTTCTAATTATAAGTTTGAAATCGCCAACCTGCATTGAGCAAGCGTGGTGATTAATGCTCTAACCTTCTCCGTGTGAGAAGAGGCTTTGCTCAGCAGTGGGCATTTATAGGCTGTTGATGAAGAACACCTGAAACACAAGTCATTTTTGCCAACACATTCAACACCTTCGCTCACGAACAAATTAGCATGACACGAGCAGTCCTGTGAGGCCAAGTTATCATTCTGGTCGAGCCGATGTAGCACTGTTGACGAATAGCTAGCCCACTAAATAACATAACATCACGCCTTTTTATCCCCGAAGAGGTAGGCAGAGGTGCACATTACGACACTGTTCAATGTAACACCTACTTTTTACTGTTTATGTTATAAGTCCCATGTAATAGGGAGTGAACTTATTGCCAGGCAGGCACAATTAAAGATTTTTTTTTTCACACCCTTTAATGCTTTGCCCGACCAGGGTATCGAACACGAGACGCCTTGCCCGGCAATGCCAACGAGGCAGTCCTCTAAATAATTACATTATAAATATTTATTAATTCTCTATATCACTAGGTGAACAGAGAGAAGCAGACCCTGGAGGTGGACGAGGAGTTGGAGAATGTGGAGCTGGAGGAGCTGCAGGACATCCTGCCCTCACACCAGCCACGGTTCATTGTGTACAGGTTAGTGGAAAGATTTATTCAGATTCTTGTATGATGGTAAGCAACCGCCCATGGACACTCGAAATACTAGAGGTTCGATACGAATACGAGAGATCGCGCAACGATCTCCGACCACCGTAAGAGCGGACCCGTGGACGACGAGCTTCCTCGCCGCCCGACCAGAACCAGACCCGTGCGTACGGCGCCGAGGGTTCCGCACGCGCCTCAAAGAGATGGGAGGCCCTATAGGGCTGATGCCCGATACGGAGTCGCGGAAGGCCTAACGGGTTGCCGGGGCTCCGGCTCGAAGTGCAGGAGTAGGAACGGGGTGGTTTTGAGTCAGTCTGACACTCCCGGTCACAGTAACACTGTCACGTCACACCTCTGCCTAAGAAGTAACACACATATTATAATGTTTCAGCTACAAGATGGAGCACGATGACGGCCGTGTCTCCTTCCCGATGTGCTTCATATTCTACACGCCCAGAGATGCGCATATGGAGCTGCAGGTTTGTTGAACTCTAAGTTATATATACAGGGTGATAATATGTACAAATAATTTCCTACAAAATTATCCTTTTTTTTTGAGGGGGGGAAATCATCGAATGACTGCTCCCGCCTGGGTGAGGCGAGAGGGAGTGTCAGTCTCTTATTGACTAAAAACCACCCCGTTCTTTCTCCTGCACGTCGAGCCGAAGCCCCGGTTACCCGTTAGGTTCTCCGCGACATGGCATAGGTATATAGGCATAGGCTCACCCCCTATTATTACATGGGACTCATAACATAAATAGTGAAAAGTGGGTGTTACATTGTACAGTGACATTAAGTGTCGTAATGTGCACCTCTGCATCTCCGGAGATAAAAGGCGTGATGTCATATGTTATGTTGACTTTATCAATTTAGTTTAACAAGTCAACTGTCTCTGTACTGAATCAATCTTTGTTTTCTTACCTACGTACTAAATAACTTATTTAATCTTATACCACTTCTTTAGCCCCTACAAAATTATCGAAAACATATTTAAAACTTCACAGGTAATGTATGCCGGCACCCAAAGGGCGCTAGCGGCGGCAGTGGGCGCCCCCCGTCTGCTAGAAGTAAGAGAAATAGACGAACTCACTGCTGACTGGCTGAACGAAAAACTGAAGAAATAGACTGACAATTAGTAAGTCAGTATTGTAGATGGTGACGTTTTATACATTTGTATTAATATTATTATATTAATGTGTATAGGTACTGTGAAACGAGGTGAATAGTGGCAGAAAAAAGTATAAAGTGAGGTTACCGGTGGCCCTATTACACCCCCCCCCTTCCCCGATCCCTGAATCCAAAAATCCTCAAATTCTTAATCCCCAAAAGGCTGGTAACGCACTTGTAATGCCTCTGGTGTTTCGAGTGTCCATGGGCGACGCCGTTTGCTTACCATCAGTTGATCCGTCTGCTCGTTTACCGGCTTATCCCATAAAAAAGGCAGAAGAAAAGTGAATATATAGTATATACTAACTTCTGCCAGCGGCTTCGCCCGCATTTCCGTGGGTTAAAAACTAGCCTATGTGTTACTACAGACCATAACCTACCCCTGTTCCTAATGTCATCCTGATCCCTTCAGCTGTTTTGGTGTGATTGAGTAACAAACATACAAACATACACACATAGTTTTCTAGGAAGATTCACCTCTCAATTCCTATACACCTCGCTTCACCTATAATGATAACATACATATTTAAGTATTAACATATATTAGTGAAAGACATAATATATATATAGGATAAGTCAAGTATATAAGATCATATTTTATAAGCAAAAGATACTTTCCGCGCCCGGTTTTGTTCGCTCACCTTCTGACCACCAAAATTGGGTAGTTTCCAGGGTATCAAAATTAAAAATCTAATTTGTCCGTCAGTTGGGTAATGAAAAAATATTAGACACGTATTTTTCTATTTTCTCGTATTAAGTTGCAATACTTAGATAAAATGGCGCTAAATTTAAGAGTGGGAGGTCGTTACGTCGTAACGTGCCACAAAATGTGGCACGCTGTGACGTCACACGATATTTCAAATTAATATATCGTCGAAAGTATTTAATTTTGTGAGAAAAGAAAAAATACTTGTCTAAAGTTTTAAATTAATGTACCAGACGGACATTAAAATAAAATATAGGAAACTACCCTATTGTATTTATGTGTATAAAAGTGCCCAACACGATACAGTAAGGACTACATACAGAGCCGTATCATCCCTAAAACAAACTAGACAAATGTCTAGGGCGCCAGGATAAAGAGGGGCGCCAGGAGACAACATTAACAGCCTATAAGTACTCACTGCTGAGCAAAGCCTCTTCTTACACGGAGAAGGTTTGAGCATTAACCACCACGCTTGTTCAATGCGGGTTGGTGATTTCAAACTTATAATTAGAAATTATAAGCCCAGGTTTCCTCACGATGTTTTCCTTCACCATTTGTCAGTGGTGTCTAGATAATCTTAGAAAGTACATATAACTCGGAAAAAGTCACATTGGTACTTGCTGTTGGTAGGTTTCGAACCCGGTCTTAACCTCTTTGCCACCACCACCAAAAAACTGTCAAATGTCAATTTTATTCTACAGTTAATAATTAACTGGTGATTGGAATATCTTCGATAAAGTCTTTTGTTTATAAAATAATTAATGTTACTATATTTAATATTAAATATAAAACTCGAAATTACATGAATATGAGTCCTATATCTCTGACTCGTGATCAGCCAATGTTTATATACTGACTTCGGTGCCAGAGTCGGGAACAGTATTATTGGTGTTTATATTTATATAATTATTGTTAGAAGATACACAGCCGTACTCAAAGTCATTGAATGATTACTCAAACCATTCCTTAGTAACGATTATGTTCCGACAACAATAGGGTAGATGCCTAATTTTCATTTCAATGTCCGTCTGGTAGATTATTTTAAATCATTAGACACGTATTTTTTATTTTCTTACAGAAACGAATACTTTCGACGATATATTGATTTGAAATATCTCGTGACGTCATTTCTATGTACATTTTATACGTAGAAATGACGTTTCCGCTCCCACTCCTAAACTTTGCTTCGTTTTATGTAAGTATTATGTTCTAGTATGACAAAATAAAAAATACGTGTCTAATATTTTTTCATTACCTAACTGACGGACTAATTAGATTTTTAATTCTCATATCATCATCCCTATTGCTAAGGACTAAGTTAAGTCACCATTGAATGACTGAGTGACTGAGTACGGCGGTTGGTCCTTGATTTATAGTCTAATTTAAATTTGTAAAATCTGGTTTTAAAAACTGACTGTAATAGATAAAAAGCATCATTATAATATCAATATATCTATATCCGAATATAAAACTAACTACGAGCGCAGGATCCTTCGCTGCTCGGCTCCTGTTGACCATAGCGTAATGAATTATAGCTTATAGCACGTAGCTGCTATAATGCTATAAATCTATACAGATAAATAAAATTGGAGTGTCTGTTTGTAATATTAAACTACTAGCGACCGCCCCGGCTTCGCACGGGTGCAATATGCATGTATTATACATATAAACCTTCCTTTAGAATCACTCTATCCATTAAGAAACCCGCATCAAAATCCTTTGCGTAGTTTTAAATATCTAAGCATACATAGGGACAGACAGACGGCGGATAGCGACTTTGTTTTATACTATGTAATCCGCTTTTACAAAGCATATAAATATACATACGAAACACATAGCAAAATAACGTTTTTTATCAATTTTGTTAATCTCCAATCCCTGGAAGGCCCGTAACGCACTTGTAACGCCTTTGGTGTTCCAGGTGTCCATGGGCGACGCCGATTGCTTACCATCAGGTGATCCGTCTGCTCATTTACCGGCTTCCATAAAAAAGAAGAGCTTGCATTTTTTACCATATATATTTTATTAAATAAATGGAAAGAAAAATACAGAAAATATTTCAAATTAAAACAATTAACGATTACTAACTAAGAAAGTCCTTTTTCCTTTTTGTTATAATCTTAAAATATACTAAATTATATACAACAGCATTCCATACGGCTGGTATCACGCATTCAGCTCGTATTTATAGGCCCCGATCGCGGTTTGAAACTAGTTGAGTGTCCTCGAATAGTTATGGAAACAGTTATAGTATTTATATTAACATAAGTGGTAAGATAACATTATATATATAATTATGTGTGTGTATTAGAAATAATATATTTAGGCTACATAGATTTTTATATGATATAGAATTTTAAATCTTACTATTTAGCGATAAAGTATTTTTTTCTATATATAAAGCTTAGTTTAAGTCATTTTTGACACCTCTGCCGATCCCTTGGAGGTTTTCGGTGTTCTTAGCATTTATCATCTGTTTTTTGCCATAACTAATATAGTTTTAATAATTATTCTAGCATTTTATAGACCATAGGGAAGATGACTAATTTCTATTTTAATATCCGTCTGGTAGATTATTTTAAATCATTAGACACGTATTTTTTATTTTCTTACGGAAACGAATACTTTCGACGATATATTGAAATGTTGCGTGACGTCACTTCTATGTACATTTCATACGTAGAAATGACGTTTTTACTCCCACACCTAAACTTTGATTCGTTTTATCTAAGTATTGTTTTCTTATACGACAAAATAAAAAAATACGTGTCTAATATTTTTTCATTACCTAACTGACGGACTAACTAGATTTTTAATTTTCATACCCTGTCATCATCCCTATTGTCTCACCCCCTATTACATGGGCCTCATAACATAAATAGTGAAAAATGGTCCTCCAGCGATTAAAAGCTATTTGAGTTTAATATTTCGTCTCTTTCACTCGTATTAAAATGAGAATGTAAGAAAGAGACAAAATATTACATTTTTGACAAATGTATTTCTTGCCATATTTTAATATTACTTTAATATACATAAAATATTATGCTAAGTTTTCTATCTATGCCTAAGTGTGATTATCACTCACACATCAACAGCATATTAGTTGCCACTTCTGACCAAAGGCCTCTCGCACGGAGAAGGTTTGAGCATTATTCACCACGCTTGCTCAATGCGAGTTGGAGATTTGAAACTTATAATTAGAAATTATAAGTCCAGGTTTCCTCACGATGTTATTACTTCACCGTTTGTCAGTGGTGTCTAAATAATCTTAGAAAGTACATATAACCCGGTAAAAGTCACATTGGTACTTGCTGTTGGTAGGTTTCGAACCTGCATCCTCATGCGTGAGAAGCGGGCGTCTTAAACCTCCGGGCCACCACGACACTGATGGCTTACCACCAGGCGATCCGTCTGCTCGTTCCATAAAAAGAATCTATATCCAGCCTGCCTACAAACCTGGCTGTTGATGACGCATTTGTGATGATGATGACAGCCATTATACTTAGGTACAGAGCAGATAACTTAGTGGTCCATTTAATATAAAAACGCATTTATACAACATGTAACTTAAATAACGCACATCCTGAAAATAGTATGTTCAGAATCGTTAACTGTATCGATTTATATAATTTTTAGTATAGGTAATTTTTTATCCCAAAAATAATTAAAACTACGGAAATTATTTTCATATTAACCCTGTATTGTTAAAACAAATCGAAATGGACCGTAAGTCAAAGCAATAAGACTTTTAAAATCGCAATTTTATTTGTATTCATACAAATTCTATCATTCAATAAAAAATAAAGAAAAATAAACCTTATGACAAGACCAGTAAGGATGCATATACATGTTAAATTAAAAATTTACTGTATGTATTATGATTGTAAAATAACATTCTAATTGGGGTGTTTGAGGGTGTGCGTTAATTACGTTACTTGTTGTATATTATATTATACAGGGTGTACTGTTATCTGTTATCATAATAACGTTTATATATAATCCATTTTTTATGTTTATTTTTTGTGGAAGGCTAGTTTTTGCTAACGCTGTCACCAGTACGACTGCTGAACATAACGCCTTAGGTTCGTTTCCATAGTATATAAAAGTTTATTTACATATTTTTTATGCCAATTACTGAACTGAATACAGCTTATACTTATGTGGTATAAGTCGTTATGTATTACCATTGTACTGGAAATGGAATCGAATGTAGGACCAACGGCTTTCTCTGAAAAGTAATAAAATATATGTACACTAAACCAAAGCTTTTTGAAATTAATTTATTTTTGACAAATGTAATAGTTATTAATAAAAAACTGTATGCTTAATAATATTCGTAGTTTTGTCTGTGTGTATAGATGTGAATTAGGTTATATTTAAAATTAATATTAAGTAATATTCTTAAAATATAAACGCACAATAAAATATTTAACTTTTAGATTACGAAAAGTATTTTTTTTATAATTAATTCTTGTTAGAGTTTTACTAGAATCTTTTTGATTTATTTTATAAAGTGTGGGAGAGCCATGCTTCGGCACTGCTGGACCGGCTCGACCGGAGTGATACCACGGCCGAGCAGAAAACTGACGTAATATAACGTGTGCGTTGTTTCGTCATGTGAGTGAGGTTACCAGACGCCCAATCACCGCTCCCCCCCTCAAATTCCTAATCCCCAAAATACCGGTAACGCACTTGTAACGCCTCTGGTGTTCCAGGTGTTCATAATCGGCGCCGATTGCTTACCATCAGGTGATCCGTCTGCTCGTTTAGAGGGACGGAGTTATACAACCTAATAGCTCCGCCCCTTTTGCACTGCTCTATGATCGACCATTCTGACACTATTACATAGCAGATTCGGGCCCCAAGAAGGCACCTTTGAACATCAACAAAGAAAAAATTTCAAGTGAAGCTATTTGCTCATTCCAAGGCGTAGATTCCTATGGAGAAGAACGAGCAAGAAACTCCATAGGTTACTCTTTTTCAATCAGTACCTGTTTACCGTCAGGACAACTGTATGCTTTGCTGCAACGAACAGTAGTATAATAAAATATTTATTGACATTCCAAAAATCTTCCAAGGTTTTTTTTAAGGGGGGAAAATCATCGAATGACTTCTCCCGCGTTGTGAGGCGGGAGGGAGTGTCAGACTCTTAATGACTAAAAACCACCCCGTTCCTTCCGTCGAGCCGGAGCCCCGGTAACCCGTTAGGTTCTCCGCGACATCTTCCAAGGTTTACATTAGCGTTTTTGAAACATTAATTTTTTTTTTGTGAAACTATGGCCCGAATATTGAAAGGTTACTGAATTTTAAGTCGTGCTTAAGTATAGTTCTGTCTCTACAAATTCTTTGTAAAATGACAGAGACGGCACGATATTTAAGTACAACTTACAAATGAGTAGCCTTCCAGTAATCGGGCGTATATGACATTTTTTTTGCTAGACACTCTAAAACGACCACAGCGCCACCTTTTCATCCGTCGATAAAATTTGATGCATTTATTTGAAAAGACAATGTTTTGTTATTTTAGTCAGGTTTTTGTAGTAATTAAATAGTAGATAATATAACGTATTGTATTGTATTGTATTGTAGACATAATAATTTGTAAAGTGATTGTAAACGCATTTACATTATTTTGTAAGGTTTGTATAAAAGACATCTTGTATTAAAATAAATTATTATTCGTACTATTGTTTTTGGTTTACTTCTCCTCTCTCAGTCATTCTCTTTCTCCCTATCTCTCCCCCCCCCTCTCTCTCTCTCTTTATATTGTCTCATTATTCTGTCAGCATAAACATGAGGTTAATGGTTGATTTTATTGTTGGTGGGCCAACGTTTGACCACTAGCTCGCCTGGTGGTAAGCGATGATGCGGTCTACGATGGAGCACTCGGGCCTTGAAGGAGGTTATACCCTTTAGGAAACAGACTCTGGCAAAGAATTCCACTCCTTAGCAGCACGCACAAGGAAGCTTGATGTGAAGTGCTTCGTGCGTGTGGGTGGGACATCTACTAAAAATCGGTGACGCTTCGCCGATTGTCTTGTGGTACGATGACAGAAAGGACTAGGGGGAATCAAGTTGTGCAATGTCAAATTTCCTTTCCAAAAAGGCTAACAATGCCCTTGTAACGCCTCTAGTGTTGCAGATATCCATGAATGGCGATCATTGCTTACCATCAGGTGATCCGTCTGCTTTACCAGCCTATCCCATATAAAACTTAATGTAACATTATGACTATTAGCTTCTGCTATCGTCTTCGCCTGATGTATCTGAAGCTTTTAGGCTGCAATCTGTAACCGTCTATCCAAGAAGATCTCTGTAGCCTCTGGCTTGGAGAAGGCCAAAATTCAAATTCAAATTCAAATTCAAATTCAAATTTCCCCAATATACCAGCCTACCAGCGCCGCGGTTAATGATGATGAGTGGGCAAACTGAAGAGACGGATCACCCGATGGTAAGCGATCAGCGCCGCCGATCGCGCCGCGATACGGAGCAGCAGAAGACTTAACGGGTTGCCGGGGTTCTGGCTCGAAGTGCAGGAGTAGGAACGGGGTGAGTTAAAACTCACCGACTAAAGTCAGTAAGAGTCAGACTCTCGCCTCACCCACAAAAATACTGCATTACCAGTCTTTTGAGAGTGGCAGGGAATTGACAAAAATGAAAAACCAAGATAAAAAATAAACAATTCTATTTAAATTTGTATGCCATAAGTTTGGCTGAAGGCGTGGGGCAGCCGGTCAGGTCGATGCCGTATTTCTTCATTTCTGCGTAGTCTAATTCAGCCAGGACCTCGTAGCCACATTTAGCTGCTAACACCTGGGAGGCAGTGGCTGTGAAGACGGTCGCTGTAGCTTCTATGCCTAGGGCTTTACCGAGAGGCTCTCTGAAATGGAAAGATTAGATTTTTTGAAAGAGAAAAAATAAAGCTGTTTGAATATTTCGTTAGTAATATTTAACAAATGGCTTATTGATAAGACGATCGAGCTAAGTCCGTATCGGTTTCGAAATTTTCAGTCAATCAAGTCGACCTGATAATTGGTGAAATATTTCCAAAATCTCGAATCGTAGGCCAATATCCGATTTGGATCACTTTGAACTTTTAAGGTACGAAAATTGTAAAGTTTGGATTAATGCACAATGTAATTTTTACAGATGCATAAGAACTTTAAACCTTTCTTCCCTGAAGGGGTAACCACCAGCTGTAATTTGAAATGTATACTTTACAATTTAATTCTATGCCCAATCCGGGAATCTGAGGTTGGGACCTCGTCAGTCATCCTTGTGATCCTTCGACTAAAGATCTAGCTATTTTGTCAGTGAATAATATATTATTATCATTATAATTTCAGCCATACCTAAGCCAGCTGATCATAGGCCTTCTCCAGTGATTTTCGGATCGACTTCCTTCAGGGTGTTATTTATATTTTTTTAACTTTGTATTTTTTTTTAAGGGGGGAAAATCATCGAATGACTGCTCCCACCTGGGTGAGGCGGGAGGGAGTGTCAGACTCTTACTGACTAAACACCACCCCGTTCCTTCTCCTGCACGTCGAGCCGGAGCCCCGGTTACCCGTTAGGTTCTCCGCGACTCCGTTAGGTTCTCCGCGACTCTTTGTATACAGTAGGATTTTCTACTGTATCGCAGGTGTGTTTACAAACATACACATGACACCCAGACCCCGCGACACATTGCACATCAGCTAGTTGCCCAACCAAACGTGCAGTCAAGTGGTGCAGTAAATAAATGCAATAGGTAAATAATATAACATTATAGGTAGTTATGATACAAACCTGGCTTCAAACAGCTTAGCTCCAATGTTCTGCCCCCGATGTTCAGGCAGCACGGTCAGGCCGCTCGATGTGAGGTATTTATCCACTTTATAATGCTCGAACACGTCGTACAACTCCTCAGCTGTGATCAGCGTACGGAGGAGCTTCTTCCACGATTCTCCTTGTACCTGGTTAAAGGAAAAGGGATTTTTGAAGAATCATTGTCATCTTTTTTCTAAGTCAACGTCAAAATAATTTATTTCAATTAGACTTTTGAACGTCAACAAAAAGTTTTAATGAAGCTATTGGCTCATTCCAAGGTGTAGATTCCTATGAAGAAGAACGAGCAAGAAACTCCATAGGTTACTCTTTTCCAATCAGGTTCACAATACAATTCTCCAGTTACATAGTTTGTTGGTTCAATTGTGTGAGAACAATGTAGGTAACACAAAAATGCAGTCAGAGATCGAAATCTATTCAGAAAGTTACATATGAAAGACAAGCATTAAACCATGCATGATAAGACTGATGACTGTTGAGGAGACTAAAGAAGTATGTAAGAATCGTAGCAATTGGGGTTCCATAATCTATGCCTATCGCCATAGGCGGAGTCGCGGGTTACCGGGTTACCGGGGCTCCGGCTCGAAGCGCAGGAATAGGAAGGGGATGGTTTTTAGTCAGTAAGAATCTGACACTCCCTCCCACCTCACTAAGGCGGGAGCAGTCATTCGATGATTTTTCCCCCCTTAAAAACCCCATAGGCGACAGGCGTGAGGTTATGAATGAATGAGTTGGATAGAGACTAAGGTCCGTTTTCACCAACGAAACTGATCACGATTACACCTAACAAAACTGATTTAAAGCGTCTAATCGAATTTAAAGCGTTTAAACGAAGTTACAGCTTCATTTTACATTTCACCGCTACAAACAGAAACTAGTTTACACGGAACTCAGTACAGAAAACACAGAACACAGAACTTAGGTTACTTTAAACTTAGGTTACGTGTAACTGAGTTTTTACAGAGCTTGGTGAAAAGGGACCTTAGTCTCTTCATGTATCTGCTATTCCCAACTCGTCTGCCGAATGAGGAAATTATGGCCAACTAGCGAATCCTCTTTTGTTTGGAAGGCCTTAATATACTTCTATAATAGCCTGGTAGTGAACTGCCACAGATAATGACGGTGGCAATGTGCCATTATCAAGAAAGCTTTTTCAATGTGAAAATTACCTATTATTTAGGACATTTAGGCCCTCGCGTTCTAGGCAGCCTGGCTGTGCAGCGAGGCTGTGGTAGCCAGAATATTTGCTCAGCCAGTTATAGCAGCCAATCAACGTCTATTCTAATAAATTTCTCCGTATCGAAAGTCACCTTATCAAAGTTCAAAATTCGTCTGACTGCCACAACCAGTGCGCGGAGATAGACCGCAGCATACACACGTTCTAGCTGTGCACAGCTAGCTGGATGCCGTGCAAACAAGAAGCGCGTTGTATTTGCCGCTGCAGCCTACACAACGTCATATGTTTTAGCTGCTTGCTTCCTTGTTGTAGTTGCTTAGTGCGCGGGGGGCCTTAGGTACCTACTTAATATTTCAAGTTGCATAATGTACCTAGGTGTTACGTTACCACCTTACAATGTCCGTCGACCTTGCAAGTATTTATCGATATCGGTACATCGTGACTGCAACTGATTGCAGTTGATAACAGAATTATATCATGTATTTTTTATAATCGTATTATAGTTGGTTGGTAAAAGGAAATGACGTAATCCACGTATTTTTAATAATTTCGATATTTTTTATTATTATTGATTTTTTTTGGAATAGGAGGCAAACGAGCAGATGGATCACCTGATGGTAAGCAATCGGCGTCGCCCATGGACACCCGCAACGCCAGAGGAGTCACAGGTGCGTTGCCAGCCTTTTATAAGTTACCACTGCTGAGCAAAGACCTCTTTTCACACGGAGCATTTATCATTATAACAGGGTAGATGCCTTATTTTTATTTTAATGCCCGTCTGGTAGATTATTTTAAATCCATTAGACACGTATTTTTTATTTTCTTACGGAAACGAATACTTTCGACGATATATTGATTTGAAATGTCGCGTGACGTCACTTCTATGTACATTTTATACGTAAAAATGACGTTTTAGCCCCCACTCCTAAACTTTGATTCGTTTTATTATACGACAAAATAAAAAAAAAATACGTGTCTAATATTTTTTTAATTACCTAACTGACGGACTAATTAGATTTTTAATGTTCATACCCTGTCATCATCCCAATTAGAAAACCTACTGAGTGTTGACTACTGCGCGAGGTAGAATTAAACCTAGCGAGGACACCAGGCAAGCATCTCTTAGGCGCCCCATTTTTTGGGCACCGCCTACCCACCTCTATGGTCTGTTCGGCTCGCGCTTGTCGCGGCACCCCTCTGTAACCTGGCGCTCTAGACATTTGTCCAGTTTCCCTTAATAAATGGTTTTTCTTTCTTTCTTTCCTTAGGGATTTTTTTTAAGTGGCGAATCTCATCGTATGACTGCTCGCGCGTGGGCGAGGCGGGAGGGAGTGTCAGACACTTACTGACTAAAAACCACGCCGTTCCTTCTCCTGCGCTTAGAGCCGGAGCCCCGGTAACCTGTTAGGTTCTCCGCGGCTCCGAATCGGCATCAGCGCTATTGAGCCCCATCTGTGGTGGTCTGAGGGCTCTTTGAGGCGCGCGCGTAGCCTCGGGTTTGTCTTAGGGATAATACGGCCCTGGCGTGAGGTAAGCGATATCTATAAACTATCTCATCTTACCATCTAACACGGAATCATTAATCCGTTGTGTGCCAAAACAACAAAGATTAGATAATATTGTCATTTCATCATATCAGAATTGCTGTGCGATCATTTTTATTGATATAAATAAAATAAGACTGCCTCGCTGGCTGAGTGGTCACAAGTGCGACTGCTGGTTCGATTCCCGGGTCGGGTAAAGTATAACTGTTTTTTTTTTAAATCTCAGCAGTAGCATGGAATGGTGCCCGGTATATGGCGATAGGCTCATCGAAATTCAAATATTGAAAAGTGAGTGTTAGGTACATTGTACAGTGGCATTAATTGCCGTATTGTGCACCCCTGCCTACCCCTTCGGGGATAAAAAATTCATGATGATTGATGATGATTCGCAAACCAAATTGTAAGTGTGGGAGAGCCATGCTTCGGCACGAATGGGCCGCCTCGACCAGAGCCGTGGTACCGGCCGAGCATAAAACCGACGTGAAGCAACGCTTGCGTTGTGTTTCGTCGCGTGAGTGAGGTTACCGGAGGCCCAATTACCCTCCCCTTCTCCAATCTCCCCAATTCCTGAATCCCCAACGATCCTCAAATTCCTAATCCCCAAAAGGCCGGTAACGCACTTGTAACGCCTCTGGTGTTCCAGGTGTTCATGGGCGACGCCGATTGCTTACCATCAGGTGATCCGTCTGCTCGTTTACCGGCTTATGCCATAAAAACAAACCTTCAGTCACTTGTCTACTTCATACGGCTCGGAAGAACCGACTACAAAATGAATATTAATTTACACATTTGCCAGAGTCCCGTGTTACAATACGATAAATCCCAACTTTTCAGTCTGATATTTCTGATCCTACCACTGGGACCCAGTTTATGAAGCGTGCAGATCATAGTAAACACATCTTATGTAGAGGATGCTCATAGTTCGGTGCTGTGATACTCCTTTCAAGACCGACAATACATTTATACCCCCTCTGGTGCTGCGGGCGTCTATGGGTATTTCTGATGTCTTACCACCAGGGCGGTTTGCGGTACCCAAAAGGGCCTATAGATGGAACATATTTCGTCATAAATTGTAAGCCATCCTGTACACACTATAGATACATTAAAGTGATTTGAATTTGAATTTGACTTTAGGGCATCTATCTTCTCCTATCCCATAAAACTCAAACTCAAAAGCATTTATTTCAATTAAACCATAATTTGGTAGTTTTGAAACGTCAACAAATATGAAATAAATAATAGTCTGTCAGTCTGTCCGTCAGTGAAGCTAGGCGCTCGTCCCAAAATGTCAATTCGAGTGGAAAAGAACGAGCAAGAAACTCCATTCGTTACTCTTTTAAAAAAAAGCCTGTTTTACATAGCTCTGATACATATTCCAAAAATAACCCTACCGTATCAAAATCTTCTTCCTCATCATCTTTGCTCTTCACCAGCACAATATTGAAGCCGACCAGGTCTTTAGGCTGTCCATCTACCTCTGTGAAGCAAGCTAAGCTGGTGTTACCGGAGACGTACTTCTCCCAATTCGATCTGATGGTTGCTATGGAAACTGGATCGTTGTTTATACCTGAAATTGAAGTTTTTTGTTAATACTCACAACTGATTGACCTGGATATCATTGGGTGACTGTGTGAGGTAGTCATTGGAGGACTATGAAGTCAGAGTATGGCTGACATTACAATGATTTCGTAAAACAAAATTGCACGCTTCGACTGTCTTTTTTTTAGTGATAAACGCTAAACTACTGGACAAATCTGAATGTAAATCGGAATAGAGAAAGATCATTGTCTGAAAAAAGCATTTGGTCTCGGTAAGGTGAGCAAAGCCGCTGGAAGTAGTTAGTATATCTTAGCGTTAGATAATGCGCATGAGTTGACAAAGAACCGGTTATGAAATAAGGGCAAACACCACACTTATGGCACCGTTAAGAGGCATATAAATAATCTTAGTCCTAATGATATTTAACTGTGGTGGACTAGAATACGTTTGTCACCACCCCTACTCTTCCCGTAGGTGTCGTATACCCGACTAAGGGACTACACTTTTGACAGAGACCGGGCAATAGCGCTCTTTGAGAAACCTGAACCGATGACCTTTTATACTGCGATCTCCAACCTATCTGAGGACGACTATAGTCCAATATGTCCAATAGTCTAGAAATGAACTGACCTCACTCCTGTCACCTGTTGTAATTATTATTTTTTTTTTGTAACACAGAAAAATGGAGTAAGCTGGTAACACTCTAGTACCCAAGAGACGGAAGCAGACAACGATGACGACCAACAAGAAGATGGGAAGACGACTTTCGCTTAGCCTTGGGATCTTTCTGGACCAGATTGCAATAGACATGGTGCAATAAAAGCAGCTGGAGGAGGCCTATGTCAAAAGACGTACCGAACTGAGGGGCATTTTATAAAAACAAAACAAACACTGTAAAAGTTCGGAATAAAGGGCTGTATTATTATTACTATAACTACTGCCACCTGTTGTAATTATTATTTTTTATGGGATGAGCTGTAAATTTGAAGTTTGTTGGGGATTCAGGGATCGGGGAGGGGGGGTGGGGCAATTCAGCCGGAACCTCACACGACGAAACAAAACGCAAGCTACATTGTTTCACGTCGGTCTTCTGCTCGGCCATGGTATCACTCCGGTCGAGCCGGCCCATTCGTGCTGAAGCATGGGTCCCACACACACAATAGGGTAGACGACTAATTTTTATTTTAATGTCCGTCTGGTAGATTATTTAAAAACATTAGACACGTATTTTTTCTTTTCTCACAGAAACGAATAGTTTCGAAGATATATTGATTTGAAATGTCGCGTGACGTCACTTCTCAGTACATTTTATACTAAAAAATGACGTTTTAGCCCCCACTCCTAAACTTTGATTCGTTTTATCTAAGTATTGTTTTATCATACGACAAAATAAAAAAATACGTGTCTAATATTTTTTCATTACCTAACTTACGGACTAATTATATTTTTAATTTTCATACCCTGTCATCATCCCCATTGATGTACGTATGTTGAATAAACCTTCACCAACCCTTACCTAATATATCACATAGTGGTTCGTCTCGTATGAATGTCTCCTGCATCATGTCTAAGCATATTTTTCTTGTGCTTTCGTCCATATCTCTAATCTGGTACCTGGAAAACCAAAAAGGATATAATTTTTGTGAGTTGCTTCATTAAATACAGCGGCAAACGAGCAGACGGATCACCTGATGGTAAGCAATCGGCGTCGCCCATGGACACCCGCAACACTAGAGGAGTTGCTAGTAGGTACGTCATCGGCTTTTTGATGCCGGAGAGTTATTCGATCGGGACTGATGTTTTACCATGTTTCAAAACTTTTAGAATTACTCTCAGCATATTATGGCAGTACCATCAACATCAACAGCCTTAAAAGTGTCCACTGCTGACCTAAGGCCTCTTCTCTTCCCACACGGAGAAGGTTTAAGTATTAATGGCCACGCTTGTTCATTGCGGGTTGGCGATTTCAAACTTATAATTAGAAATTATAAGCCCAGGTTTCCTCAGGATGTTTTCCTTCACCGTTTGTCAGTGGTGTCTAAATGATGTTAGAAAGTAGTATCATATAACTCGGAAAAAGAAATTTAACTGCACGGTTCGCGCGGTGGTTAGGCAAATGGCTGATTCCCGCACGGACCAACTCTTTGTGTGATCCACGGATTGTAGTTCCGTGTTTATGTGTGATGTGTAAGTGAACTTGTATGTTTGTAAACGCACACACGACACAGGAGAAAATCCTAATGCGGGGAAACGTTTTTTAAGCCAAAAAACGTCACATTGGTACTTGCTATTAGTAACTTTCGAACTCGCGCTCTCATGTATGAGAAGCAGGCGTCTTAAACCTCCGGGCCACTAGGACTCTATCGGCTACTACTACTGCTACTACTTATGGTAGTAAGGTACATTACATGGGACTCATAACTTAACTGGTGAAAAATGGGTGTTACATAGTAAATGAACACCTTTGTCTCTCCCATCGGGAATTATTGTTGATTGTTGGATGTCGGGATGTTTCAAACCGGCTAGACACTTTGGCAATGCGTAGAGATGTAGCTTCGTTTTGCATTTTCTACCGCTTATAACGCGGGGAGTGCTCTGAGGAATTGTTTGACCGAATACCTGCCGCATCTTTTCACCATCGACCCTCGCGACAGCATATGCAGGGGATATGCTGTCGCGAGGCTGGCAGGCCACAACTGTGCGCTTCTCACGTAGCTTTCTACCCCGCAATGTAAATCTATTGAATGATCTGTCGTCGGCGGTATTTCCGAACGGTACGGTATTCCAGGGGTATTTGATATAACCTTCAAACCTTCACGAAAAGAGCATAACTCCTTTTTAAAAGGCCGGCAACGTACCTGTGACTCCTCTAGTGTTGCGGGTATCCATGTGCGGCGCTGATCACTTACCATTAGGTGATCCGCCTGCTCGTTTACCTCCTAGTCCATAAAAAATTAAAAGCAGTGTAGTTATGTTGTTATACATTACATGTGTGCTGGTTTTCCATCTCTTTCTCTTCCTTTGAACCGGCTCCAGACCTGTCCGATGGGCACACTGGCTGGTCTCTCCCACGGCATCTGAATAAATATGGCGTTCATTAATTCATCATCATTAACAGCGGTTGGCAGTCTACTGAGTCTACTAGAGGAGTCTATCCTCCTCTACAGTCCTTCTAGAGTTTGCCAAAATCTTCACTTAACTAACGGAGGCGCGGAGACCTTAACGGGTTACCGGGGCTCCGGCTCGACGTGCAGGAGAAGGAACGGGGTGGTTTTTAGTCAGTAAGAGTCTGGCACTCCCTCCCGCCTCACCCATGCGGGAGAAGTCTTTCGATGATTTAACCCCTTTAAAAAAAAGGGTTTGCTATAATCTCCACTTAACCAGGGGGTGAGATCGTGCTTTGGAAGGTTCCGATGTAATAGAAAGCTCGGCTACTGCCCTGTCACATGTGCGTGTGCATAATCAGGTCTAACTATACACGTAGGAACAAAATGGACGATGACAATGACAATGGATTCTACTCTGCCGTCAGTACACTGCTTAGTACACTAATTACTGCCGACAAACGAGCAGACGGATCACCTGATGGTAAGCAAGCAGCGCCGCCCATACTTAGACATCCGCAACACTAGAAAAGTTACTTTACTAGTGGGTTTTATGGTTTTTGGTAATACAAAAGTTCTCAGTTCCAGCAATAAGTCATAGATAAATAAGAACAGTAGTTTATATCTTCCAGTTTTGCGCTAGCTAGATGGCGCCACTGCTGAATAAAGTCGTGCTCACCTTTATGACCAAATTTGTGTGAGTGAGTTGACTAATTAGCGATTAGCATTCGTAATACATATGTTAAGAACTTCGTGCATTGTGACTTTCTTATTCGTGTCAGTATAATTTTTAACCGACTTCAAAGAAGAAGGAGGTTCTTAGTTAGACCTGTATGTAAGTATGTATGTGCGCGATAATCTCACTATTGAACCGAATTAGAGGTTTTCAGAAAAGAGTTTGTTACACGGAGAAGATTTCAGTATATTAATTAATAGACTCCCAAAAAAGAGGGGGTTAAAGTCGACTTTTTAAATGTAGTCTATAAAAGAATTATTAAAATTTAGATTGGGTACTAACTGACACTTTATTTATTAAATAATATAGGTATTAATGCATACGCAAACAATAAAGTTACTAATAGAAAACAACACAAAAAACAAAAGTAATTATAGTTAGATATTGTTATAAAAATGTCGTATCTAATAAAAAAATAGGCGATAGTATCGCAGTATAAATATTGTCTAATAATTATTATTTTAATACCCACAAAACATTTTAGAAATTAAAATATAAACAACTCAGTGGGTAAATGTAAAATCACATTTCAATAAAAAACAAAACATGTAAAACAAAATGATCAATGAAAATACCATCACAACATAATTATTAAAAAAAAAACAAAAAATCAACTTGTCAAAAACTTCCCGCGCGCAGATTATAAATAAAAAAATAACCTCACTTGTCAACCATTAAGCGAACGACACTTTATAGGTACTATTATTTCCGTCGTGTTTTAAGCATTATTATATTAAAAAACCTATTACTTATACATCAAAACACACAATAACTATTTACTTACATTTATAAAACGTAATATGTGTTCTCCACAACAAAACTACAACTCAAATGTTTAGTATTTAAACGCAAAAACAAGACTGTACTATTTACCAATTTAATAACACGCTGATATGGTCAAATAGCAACCTTATCTCATGGTATTAAAGATGATAACGATAGAAGATATAAGATTGTAATATTTGATGTAAATATATCAGTATATTGAGTGTGTGCGTGTGAGTTTGTGTCCATTGTAAAACGTATGATTCACGATTATGATAATAAGACTCCATATTGAAAATAATTATTGGTTTGATAATAAGCTACGGCCTTGAGACGCGACGTTGAGTTATTTTTATAATGGCGAATGCCCATTCGAAAACTGGTCTGGCTAGCTGACGGAGATAAAACATGACTCATTGTGAATTGCAGTTTGCAGTTGAATTTAAATAAAGCCGAACGGAATGTAAAGCAGATATTATTTATTCCTGCTAATGAATCAATATACCTACCTAAATGCTATATACCTATATCGTATGCTGAAGCATGTAATACCTAGTAGTGTTTTTTTTTTAGTTCGACCATCGTCTTTGTATAATACGGTAAAAAAGTTATTGTGAATCGTCTACATAGACATATTACAATACATACCTCCAACTATATACGAAAAATACAGTGATTTATTGCCCAACATTTTAAAGTTCGTCCTTTGTTTTTGATTGAACGCATTAGGATTTTAATGTCAGCTGCTATCCTGAAACAAAACAAATAGTCATTCAAATTTCGAACACACTAAACATCATGCCTTATGCTTGTAACTCACGAAGTAGTCGACATAGGTACACTTCACATATACAATATTATAACATCCACTTTTCACCTATTACAACCTCTCCCCCCTTCCTAATCTTCCCAATCCCCGAATCCCCAACATTCCTGAAAATTCTAACTCTTAAAAGACCGGTAACGCTCTTGTAACACCTTTGGTGTTTCGGGTGTCAATGGGCGACGCCGATTGCTTACCATCAGAAAGAAAGAAATAAAAAGCATTTAGGTATTATAAATAAAAAAAGAAAAGAAGAAATAAATACAGATACTTATATAGATAATACAGAACGATGAAAATAAAAACAAATGTGGGAGAGCCATGAGATTCTACTGTCTTTTTAGGTATAACCCTAGATGCTAAGCTCCAGTGGGCTCCACATATAGATAAGTTATCGAAAAGGCTCAATTCTGCAGCATATGCCGTTAAAAAAATTAGAAAGTTAACCGATGTAGATACAGCGCGATTAGTATACTTTACTTATTTTCATAGTGTCATGTCATATGGTATTCTCCTATGGGGGAATGCTGCTGATATTCAATCTATCTTTGTTCTGCAGAAGAGGGCCATTCGATCAATTTACAATCTTAGTCCGAGGTACTCTCTCAGGGAACTATTTAAAGAAATCAATATAATGACTGTTGCCTCTCAATACATTTATGAAAATGTAGTATATGCTCATAAAACAAAAAATTATTTAAAAAGCATAGTAATATACATAATATCAACACGAGAAATAAAGACAAATATGTTGTTCCCACTACTAGACTAAAGAAAATAAGTGGTTCGTTTAGATGTCAGAGTATACGCTTTTACAATAAAATTCCCAACCATATCCAAAATTTGAGTCTAAATAAATTTAAAAATGTCATTAAAGATAAATTTTATAGTAAAGATTTATATAAAATTAAAGACTACCTAGATGATAGTCAGGCTTGGGAATAAGCTGCTGTAACGTCCACACAGGTCATGTTGACATGTTTGTAACATATAGTTACATTTCTTGACATGGTTTTTCATATATTGTTCTAACTTGACATTTGCTTTTTCCTTTACAATTGTTAGTGCTAGGACCGTGCGAGACTTTGCCTTACCATTTCTTTTCTAATTACCCATATTCTGACAGTTTGAGTATTTGTGTTACCCACGCAAATGTTCTTTAGGTTGGTATTGTTCGTCGAATCAGTCAGCCTCACCTGTTAATTGAGCCGACTGTAAACCGACACATGCGTACTGCCTTCAGAACGGGTCCGCTCAAACTGTTGTGGTTCTTTCCTCAAAAGGCCACTACAGAAAGAACTTGCACGGTTCTCACACATGATTTATTATACATATTGTCTGGACTTTAAAAGAGACAGACCTCTGAGTTTGTTTCGGCATTTCTTCTCAGAGTAGTCAGTTAGGAAATGTCGACCTCATCGTTCGCTTGATAAAATTGACGTGTAAAAGTGCTGCCTTGTAGCCTATTTGCAGAAATAAATTCACTTGTTTCACTTGTCACTTGTTTCACTTGTTTCACATGCTTCGGCACGAATGGGCCGGCTCGACCGGAGTGATACCACGGCCGAGCAGAAAACTGACGTGAAGCAACGGTTGCGTTGTGTTTCATCGTGTGAGTGAGGTGACTGGGGACCCAATTACCCTCCCCTTCACCAATCTCCCCAATCCCTGAATCCCCAACAATCCTCAAATTCCTAATCCCCAGAAGGCCGGTAACGCACTTGTAACGCCTATGGTGTTCTAGGTGTCCATGGGCGGCGTCGATTGCTTACCAGGTGATCCGTCTGCTCGTTTACCGGCTTATGCCATAAAAAGAAAGTTATAATATGAGCCCCATGTAATAGGGATTAACAGTAGTCTATTAAACCTGTAAGTACTTAAAATATCGTGTCGTATATACAACGGAACCACACACAGTACCATCACGTACTTGAAGCGAATATACGCGATATCTATTAATATGTTACTTGATTTGATTATCTTTGCATTAAAACAAAATATACGCACAATACAACCACTGGGTGAGCTGTTTGGTTGCTGGGATTTATCTACTTATCATACATACTTGTGTACAGCCGTTAGTCCAGTGGTGGATAAAGATGTATTTATTTCTAAGTACATGGTACACTGAGATCTTACATTAAACATAGAAACACATATACTACCATTTCTGGTGTAGAAATATTAAATAAGCTAAGTCCATGCAAATCTTAGACATTACAATAATCTTCATTTGATACAATTTATTCATTAAAAAAAAAACATTTTTTCGTCCAAATTGTTATGTCAAAAAATAAATACCAAACAGAATAAAAAAAAGAAAATATATGTCATAGTTACTGGTTCCAAGGTAAAAAAATATATATATATTAATCATAATGTCAATATTTCTAATAGCATCAAATATTAATTACAAGGTCAAAAAGGATGATTTAAAAATTCGTTAACGGAGTAAAAACACATGTCCAGGAGCCAAGTAAACTCCCACAGGCTATTAAGTAGTATATTAAAACTTTTGTGAGTCATACTTAATTAATTATATTTTCGGCTTACTCACGTAACTGTTTGACGAGCAACACGACAAGTTTCAAGCCATGCTAGTGGCTCATATTCACGAGAAGTATTTCGCGATCCGCGACGCAGCCACTG